AGCGTTAAGGGAATATTAGAAAAATATTAGAGAAACATTGGAAAAATTGTTATCTTTTTTATTTACTACTGGTGACAGATGAGTGGTGAGGTATAGAAAATTATTTCTCGATTCTTAACGCTTATAACGAGTGGGCCTAGAATTTTTGCAATTGCTAAAAGTGTATACTAGCTTTTAAAAGAATTAGCGTTGATGTCACGATAAAATTGTAATCAATATGTTTATGTAGTCATTAGAGATCGGTAATTCTAGCGTCAAGGGAATATTAGAAAAATATTAGAGAAACATTGGAAAAATTGTTATCTTTTTTATTTACTACTGGTGACAGATGAGTGGTGAGGTATAGAAAATTATTTCTCGATTCTTAACACTTATAACGAGTGGGCCTAGAATTTTTGCAATTGCTAAAAGTGTATACTAGCTTTTAAAAAAATTAGCGTCGATATCACGATAAAATTGTAATCAATATGTTTAGGTAGCCATTAAAGATCGGTAATTCTAGCGTTAAGGGAATATTAGAAAAATATTAGAGAAACATTGGAAAAATTGTTATCTTTTTTATTTACTACTGACCAAGATTTGTTTTACCTTGCCTTTTCTTCTGTATTCAAAAATTTGCTAATTATTATCGGTAAAATTTGTTTCGAAATTTGTCTATCACGTAGATCTCGCAGTGAAATTATTTTTCCATCGAATTATCGTTTAATGTACAGCGAGAAATTCTGTCGATTAGTTAAATTGATCCCAATTCGAGGTTTTCAATATTCAGGAGTATTGGCCCGAGTGGAAAAATTGCGCTCAATAAATATTCAATGTGACAACCGACGGTTGGAAATTGAGGATCGCGGTTGTATCGAATTAGAAATCAGTGTCGTATTATTGGTTGACGTTGCAAAACCGACAGTTATCGCGTAACCATTGGGTATTCAGGTGCCATTGTCCGTTCTTGGACGGTGGTTTCGTATGGATGAGGAACTTCACGGTTGATTTCTACGAGCTATGGTTTCTCGCGTGCTCTACCAATGCTCTTTGACGGAAAAACCGAGAAAATATCGAGATCGCGTGTAAACGACGACATAAAAGTTAGTAACCACCTGTGTGCTCCGAGGGTTAAGAAATTTCACTTGTTTCGTCTCGTTCTAGCTTGACGATTATACAGGTTGTCGCTCGAGCACCGCAAAATCGTTTCTACATCCTGAGCAATTTCCCAAGTGGAAAGTGCTCGGGCTGTTACGGTACCGTCTGCATCTACTCGCAATCGCGATCACAGGTTTTTTCCGCTCCTCTTACAATTTATTGCCATTTTATTCGGATTTATTCGACCTCGAAACGTGACGGATTTTTTCCATTCCGTCCAAGTCCACCGATTCGAAATTCGATCGAAATTACTCTTTTTAGTAATTAAATAAATCATTAATTGATATATCATGAAACTCGTTTTACGAGAAATATAATAATTTTAAATTAACACATTGAATTAACATTTAAGAGGTAAAAATGTCTTATTTTAGACTCTTTATGCTTTGCAATTGCTGAGAATTGCAGTGCAGTTGCTTTCCTAAAATTAATATTAATTTTTATTCTAATATGCTCTTTTATTTCCTTTCATATCGTATTTAGGTACTTCTATTAGTTTCTGTATTTAACCCTTTGCACTCGACAATTTTTTGGCCAGAGAAGAGTAGAAAATCAAAGATTCTCCATTAAAAAACTGAGGATACTTTTTTGAGCAGTAAAGAAAGAATTGTATAATAATAGAATTGTAGAATTATTTGATTTCGATACCTTGCACACTGTTACATTACATTAAATTTGATATATTAATTAATATCGATCTTCCAAATTTTATGAAATAGTGACTGAGGGTCACCTCTCGAGTGTAAAGGGTTAACTATACAATGTCAGTCGAAGCTTCCCTTTTTTACCCTTTTCCCATCAGCAAAAACCCATTTCTTTACATTAACTTTCTTTTCAAATCTGCACACTCAGAAACTCACACTACACCACACACGCCCTCTATCCAAGTCTGTATTTAGGTACTCATTAAAGATCAGTAGCTGTAGTATTAATAAAAGATTGCTCGATTTTTTCCATTTCGTCGATGTTCACCGATTGGAAATTTAATGGAAATTATTCTTTTTCGTAATTAAATAAATCATTAATTGATATATCATGAAACTCGTTTTATGAGAAATATGTTAATTTTGAATTAACACATTGAATTAACATTTAACACTAGAACTACCGATCTTTAATGGGTACTTAACTATAACGTGCACAGATTATAGTAATTTCAGCGGTACGATGAGTATGAGTGAATATATTTATTACAGTTCTTTCTTGATATCTATTGATACCAATTTTATTTTTGAAGCAGGTGTATGTGTTCGGTGATTGAAAAAAGGAGAATTCTAAGACCAATCATTTTGACTAGGTTGGTAGTTCTAGTCTTAAGAGGTAAAAATGTTTTATTTTAGACTCTTTATGCTTTGCAATTGCTGAGAATTGCAATACAGTTGCTTTTTCAAAATTAATACTGATTTTTATTCCAATATGCTCTTTCATTTCCTTCCATATCTTATTTAGGTACTCATTAAAGATCGGTGGCTGTGCTATTAATAAAAGATTGCTTGTTTCGATACTATTTAAAGCTTCCCGAAGAGGATTTTTCTTTTACCGTTAAAATGAATTATTGATTGAGATATTATGCCACTTGCCTCAAGGCAAACATCGTTGTCGTTTCGTATTAATATCGAAATCGTTGTTTTCGTGATGCAACCGCGTATTTTAATTACGATTTAACACGTCGTTAATATTCCTTGAATAAACAGCGTTACACATATGAATGTGCGATAAATAGAGCGTGTATCGTTGCTGTTGCATCAATGCTGAGTTTTCCTCAGAATTCCTCAGGTAAAATAATTAAACGATCTGTATCACGAAGCAGCACTTCTAACCAGGCTGCGCGAGAAATGAAATATTTTACATCGGATATTGCATAAATTATCGATGACTCATAATAAATATTTGCAATACTTTTAAAAAAGTAACGCGAGAAATTGAATAATTTACATGTCACGTGAACTATCAATAATACATTACATTACACAGTCTACAACAAACAGATCTGTAACGTGTAAATCTATTCGATAGACACGTCTAGAAAATCTCTAATTAATTTAAATTTAAAATTTCATTACAAATTTTCACGAGGCAGACGAGGATACCGAAGAGCTTCGTACCAAAACCGAGTGAAAGGAACATAAAATAGGAATAATACAGGGAACGATAAAATCGGTGTTACAGTTAAATACTGCGTCGAAACGATTATTCGATTATTCGCAGAAACGTACTAAATGGAATCCCATTTTAATTAAACCGCGAGATATCGACCTCGAGATGGAAGAAACGGCGAATGCAGTCTCTGGTTCTCGGTAGTGGAACGCAAAAACGTGACGTTTCGTTCTGAAATGGTAGAACTTTCTCGTACACCGAGTGGCAACGATCAAATGTAGCGCTGCGTGCAGATCCTGGCCTCTGAATGGGTAGTGGGAAGATGGAAGTTTATTTCAGCGAGCCTAGAATTGCGAAAACCAGAAGCTGGTCGGTAGCCGAGCCATTCCGGCTACCTTTCATTACGTTCACCGATATTCTAGAAAGTTGTCACTTGGACGAGTAAAGCGAGAACCCCCGTTTTGCCAGCCGGCAAACAGAAACGCTGCAAACGTCCAGGCTCGTCGGGGCCTGATGCAACTAACGTTTCTTGCACGATAATGGCTTCCTGCTGACCAATCGCCAATTAGGCTCTCGAAAGATCACGATCGTTTCCTACTCCTCATAACGCTTCATAACGCAACGATGATCCAATCTTCCAACGATCATTGCCTAATCCGAGACGACGTCGCTGGATGGCTCGAGGATCGAGATCGCAGTCTGCGCGATAACCGGAGAAAACGACCGAGTAGATCGGATGAAAACATTAATGGAAGCATCAAGATGCATCAAGATGGCCGTCCGATGCGTCGTCGTATCTACATCTCTAACGGGACACGCGATAAAAGCTTATTAAGAATCTATGAAACCCCAGTTTCATTCGTGGCCTCTGCTAATTGGAGCGCATCTCTGGTATCGATTAAACGTAATTAAAATCCAGTGGATAATCGCAACAGGAGATAATTGGCTGGTCCCTGCGTGCAAGCGTCTGTCAAGAGAGAGAATCCAAAGGAGGATCCACGGAGGCGACCGCGAAACGAAGACGAGTCGTCTCGAGCGTTCCTCGAGGCTTTGAAAGTTGTATAAATATCGCCATAGTAATCATCCGTTGATGCAACTCGTTTTCTTCCTGGTCGCGACACCGGGTCGCGAGTGAAAGCGAACTCTCTTCGTGTTATCGCGTTATAACCTCGCCGAGGAGGATGGAAATCGAACGCGACGAGAAGCTCGATTAACTACCACGATCCTCCGACTCTTGCGAAGAAGCACCGGTCGACCCGACGATCCTTGCTGTCTTTTTTGTCTTATCTAACCCGACGAGATTGGTATCTCATCCGAAACGGGATTCTGATGGACGTCGGGGATCACGATATTCGTGATTGGACAGAGATATTTCGTTTTAGAGAATATTAATGCCTTATAAACGGGATCTAACCTGAGAACTGCCTCGGGAGATTTTAACGACGACTTGAATTTTAATACGCGATTTCTCCAGTGAAGATTAATGGGACTCATGCATTCTTTTTGTAATGCTGATAGACTTTAAGAATCCCGGTGTAATAAAATGTACGGGTTCGTCGAATCGTGTACGTTGACGCTGTTGGTGTCTTTATGACACCGCGAGATTTATGAGATAGCCCGAGATATTTACGAGTTGAACGCCCGGTATTTTTATACGGAATTAACGATTAGTTCTACTTTGGATCTTCGTATCGAGGCTTGGCATTGCGGGCTGTAAAGATTGTCGGAGAAATCGTGATGTAGAGGAATGTTTTGTCGATGTGCAGGATACCATCGAGACAAAGGAAGTATCGCAGTCCTTGGCTGAACAAACACCACCGAAGAAGGAAGCGGAGCCAGACACCAAGGACGTGAAACTCCACAAGGAGGATGAGAACAATTCAAAGTCAGATAACGAAAGCGGCGACCATGACGACGATGACGACGACTACGATGACGACGAGTTCCCTCCTGTACACATTAAGCTGCCACTTCAATTCGATTTCGACGAAATTGCCGGCGTATGTTAATTGAAATTTAATTCACAAGCAGTCTTTATTCAATTTTCGTAAGGATTGATCATTTTTTTGTGGGTTATTTTATGGATTTTTTAGACCCTGATTCAAGAGGCACGCAGCAGAGTTTCTTGCGTGGTTGAGAGACGAAGGGCTGACCAAGTGATGGACGGTGCTAATAATAATAATATCGACAATGGTACTGATTCTCGCTACCAAAGACTGAGCGGAGAACGTGTGGCTATTTTGTGCGAATCTGGCAATCCTCATCAAGAGTATGTATGAATTTATGTATAAAATTCTTGAGGAGATGAATTAATTCGTAGATAAAGCAAATGAAAGAATATAAAAGGTTTTTAAAAGATGAAAATATTGAAAATTTGAAATTTTTTGATTTATTATCAGGCAACAGGATCAAGAAATGCTTACGCCAATCATCATTCCTTTGGGAACCGTCCAAGTACCAGTCCAGAATCAGGAACCAAATCCAAACTACTACCAGTACCAAGTGCACACTCAATATCAAGTTCCTGATATGCAACAGTTACCACTCAGCGATCCACGTGGACTTAATCATATTCCACCTGGCGTCCTTCCTCCTGAATTGCGAAATATCCCTCAAGTAATCATGGAGATGAGGCCTCCTCGTGTAGGTCCACAGGCACCCATGATGGGACCACAATCCCCCCCAATGGGCCCACAAGTTAGTATACATCCCAATCTATATCTTTAATTTAATGTTTCCACGCTTAGTTGTTACATATTTTTCTTTAGTTTCTGTTCATGATATTTCATATTAGATTAGATAGCTGTATCTGATGTATAAAATATTCACTTGTTTTCGAAATAAATAAAATCTAATAATTTCACTCAGGTGGAGGTACGCCGAATTCCCATCGAGTTGCGTCATTTCCTGGCAAATCTTATGAGACGTATGCGACCACCAATGCCCCAGGAACCGCAACAAGTGCCCGTGATGTACCAACAAGTCGAGCAAACATCTGGAGGTTACGGTCAAGAACAAGGTCCAGCGATGATGCCTCCTCCAGCACCGCAGCCAGAAGCTCAGGTTCACGAGCAAAGGATTATTCCTCACGTGTTGATCCCACAAACCGAACAACGTCCACCTCAATTACCACCTCAAATGCCACCTCAAATGCCGCCTCAAATGCCACCTCAAATGCCACCTCAAATCCCGCCTCAAATCCCACCTCAAATGCCGCCTCAAATACAACCCCAAGTGCAGCCCCAGATGCAACCTCAGCCTCAAACTCAGCCACAGCCTCAACCACAGCCGCAGCCTCAGGTTACTGAGAGACAACATTCGCCCTTCCAAGGAATTCCATTCGAAATTCGAAGGATCATCCAACAAGTACCTTTAGAGATCAAGAATATCATTCAACATATCACTGGTGAGGTGAGACCAGTGCCTGTACAAGTACCTGAAGGTGCTCGCCGCGAGGTAAATTATTAGATCATAATATCTATGTCAATAGCAACAAAAAATATTATTGATAAAATTTCAATTTTCTTCTAATTAAATGAACATAAAAATAAAAATATGCTTCGTTTTATAACTAGTATTATTTTATTATCTTTGCTAATGTAAATAATATTGGAGGCAATATTATTCATTGGAGTGATTTTATCCATTTTTTAGAACGTACAAGAATTTAAACCGTTCCCGGAAGGAGCACAACCCATTCCTCTGGGACTTCCACTTCCGGTAGAGGTTCGAAATCTATTGGAGCATGGAAATATCGAGGGTCGTCAGCGACCGGATGGTTCCAGCGAACAACAGGAAGCTAAACCTTTCCCCGGACCGGAAGATGACAGCGAGGAAGAAAGGAACTTCCCTGTACCAGCAGAAATTCGTAACATAATTCATCAGGTAAATGCAGATTAATTAATTAAATAATGAAAAGATGCCTCTCAAAATTGCACGAGAAAGTTTTAACTAAGATTATACTTTTACCATTATTCCTCACAAAGCATTTTATTTTTTAATATCTGTTTAACATTTCTCTAATTAAATGATTAAAAACCGTAGTATGGAATTTAATTAGCTGATTAAGATTATAGGAATATTTTATTCTTAGCGGGTTATGTAACCCGAGTATCTTACATTTTTATTAAATAATCATATTCCGGTTTTCAATTAACTTTCACGTTATGAAATAATGTCCCATTTTAGGTATTTACGATAAGAAGTGATATATAAGAATAAATGAGAACCGCTGGACCAGCAATTTTTCACTAGAATAATATCTGGTAGCGTGGCCGAGCGGTCTAAGGCGTTGGTTTAAGGCACCAGTCTCTTCGGAGGCGTGGGTTCGAATCCCACCGCTGCCATATTTTTTTATTATAATTACTTTAATCTTATCTCTTCAAATTCTAAGACATTCTGTACTAATCATACCATCAGCTATTATGTTTAATTAAATTCTCAGCTTTGTTATGTACAATTAATTTTTAGGTCGTAGAAGGTAATGCTTTTCCAGTACCAAGATTTGCTATGTCGCTGAGACCTGTCGAATCTTTGGAGATACCTGTTGAGGCTCGTGCTGAAGTCTCCGATAGCCAAAGTTCCGAACAAGAATCAGAGCAGAGACAGCAGGAACAGCAACAAACGACTCACTTGATGATGCAACAGCAGCAACAACAGCAGCAAGCTCAACAGCAACAACAGGAGCAAGAAGAGGAAAGTCGCCCACACTGTGAGCAGATAGTATAATATTTATATTTTTCATATCTATATTTTTCCTTGTACTCATTTTACCAGGTTAAAATTTTAATTCCATTGATATCTCTTAAAAACAGAGGCAAGTTTAATTTTTTAAATTATTGAAATTATAAAATCATGTTGATCATACTCCAATTTTTAATCTCCAAATGTTAATTACAATTTATTGAATTTATTAGTTATAAGTGATAACAGAAATAATTCCTTATCCCTATTTAAGAAATGAAAGTTACATAGGTCATTGATCTCGTGAACATTTTCATTTATAATGAATACAACCATATAAAATATTCGCAATTTGTTTATAGACGTCCAGCCACGTTCAGTGCGTTCCATCCCAGAGGCATTCACCCATCGCCGTGAGAAACGTGTACGCCGTTGCGCTTGTGATTGCGCTTGTTAATTCCACTTGCAGCGCATCGGATCGAATGTCCCATCGTACCCGGTCAAAGATGCCCAAAAAAGAAGAAAAGCATCTCGGAACATGTTTGACGAGTTCCTGTAACCCGAAAAAACATTTTTCAGGCTATCACAGTACATGAACGTTTTCCTCCTTAAATTTCATATTTTTGTAAATTTTACTCAAGTAAACTGGACCAGGTACCTCACATCGTAGAAGATAATATGGGACGAGTGTCGCAGAGGTTAAGAGCGTTTCGTTAAGTTTGTAGTATTATATCGTTATAAAGCAACAACGCCACGGACATATTTTATTTAGGCTGTTCATAGTACGATGGAAGCAAATAAAATGGCAAAAATAAAGACAGTACGTGGCCCAGAAGACACTGTAGAGAGTAGAGATTTATATCAACAGGGATACACCTACAATTAGGGGGGAGGAAGATCTATTGTTTACGAGTGATATTCTTTCTAAACTAACACGTCTCCAATGGAGGAAAGGCATTAATTTTGTCATTACAGTTTCTTCTTCTAGTGATGTAACCACATACAGGGAGAAAATGGGAGATATGAATAAATCTGTGATCGTTTCGTTCATTATCATTGAAAAAGAAAAAAAAAGAGAAAGAAAGAAAGAAGAAACTAATAATATTCTTAAATATAATCAGAGACAAGTTTGTAACGTTTCATAACGATCCCTATGTATTATGTGGATTTGATCAAGAGACACGTCAAATTCTTTAATTCGTGATCAATATCGATTTTTTCGTTTGGTTACTTTTAATCGGTTGTTTGCTTGAAAGAGTGAAAATAAAGTTTGAAAATCCTTTCGTAAAATCCAATTTCCGGCTTCGACGTGTATATTATTACTCTTGTTCTGTATTTGCAGCCTCGTTTTTTTGAACATCACTTTTTACGTCTATCCTAAATTGTTTTAAGGTATGGATATTTTATTATTCTATATTTTCTGTATTACATACACACACACATATATATAAATATATATATATTTTTTTTCATGACAATTAATAAAGCGACAAGATTATTGGTTTAGACTCGATACTCTGTGAATGTGTCGTTTTATTTTTTTTAGATAGCTTTCTAGTTATCATCAAGGTTTAAGACATCTTAAAAAAGTATACACAATAAATATTTTTGATAAGAAGCTTTTAATGTAGACTTGTAGGATATAGCGTTTCATTGTAATATTGCGCCTGAATTAATAATACTAATAGATATTTTAATACTTTTATATTATTATTGGATATCAATTCTCATAAAGTATACGTTAATATTTTTTGTGTAGGATTTTTATATGATAGACAATCCTAGAATTTTTCTTGATAAAACTATGATATAAAAGAAAAAATTTCATGAGAACATCGATCAATTTCCAACCTTAATAAATCATAAAAATAACGATATTATTATTGTGTTTAAACATATTAGCGTAAGTTATTCGATGAATATCAGACCCTTTATATCTAACTTATTCAATAAAATATATTAAATCCATCAATGTTTATTAAAAAAGAATACAAATTTATCAAGTGCTAACTTTATAACTACGCTCCTGAACATGACATCATTCAGTAACTTATAATCGCAAATTCGAGCAGAGCATGCGTATAACCTCTCAGCTTGCAACGTTCGAGCAGTTTAGTGTGTGAGTTTAACGTTATTGCGTTATGATTTTTGTTCATAATATTGACAACAGTTTTTGAGTAAAGTTTGTATTGTTCTACATTATTCGAAACGAGGATACGGCGTGTCGTTGAAGGTGAGCATGGTTGGAAAACGTATTGTGTCGACGATCGTCATGACGTAGCACATTTTTAGATTTCATAATTCTATTTAGAAACAAAGTGTGATAGATTAATGAGTTTTAACAATAACAGAGCAAAGGACGAAGAGTTCTGATATCGTCAATCTAATCGGAGTCATCCGCTCGAAATGATGAATTTTGAAGAAGAAAAAGGATCCACGAGATCCTCGTCATCACGAAATATTTGTTGCTGTCTTGCAACAGCTAGATATAACAGTTCAAAGTAAATTTCCTAATTCGTGTTTGATTTTTACATGATCATGATTTCTCATCCGACATTCAATTTCATAATAAATTTTTTACAGATGTATATTAACCATATTAATTTTTTAGTGCATATAGATATTTTGTAGACGATCCAGTCTGAGTGTACTGTCAGCTGAAGTAGGCAGAAGATATGGATGAATTACAAAATCAAAATAGTCATGAACTGATCCACTGTAGATATGACAATAATAATAATAATAACAACAGGTTAATGGAATACCTTAATTTGGATAATCGTGTAGATGATCCACTCAGTAAGCGAAATTACAAAGGAAAATATGTTAGATATTTATTATAAATACTAACAAACATACACTTATGTAAATTTATAGGGGAGCCAGAAGTAACTATGAATTTAAATGAGGGTTCTGCACAAATACCGTATCATCCATTGGAAGATCCAGAAGAAGATTTATTTGACTACGAAGTCGATACTTCACTCCAAGAAACAAATACAGAATCAGAGGTAAATTGATAAATATAAATTACATAAATTAATTTATAATTTGTATTAATTATAAATTGATAAAATAATTTTTCTTTCTTTTAGTTTAACAATGCATATTGAGTTACATAATCTGCTTGTGCTATATTAATTTGAACATTGTATGTACTTTCTTAGGAGCAAGTAGTACCATCCAGTCAACTCAGTAATAGTTATAAATATCCTGATGAACTTACCATTTCTGATGATGAGGTAGATGAAGGCATATTTGAAGATGAACCAGCATCTAATTTAGTATTACCACATGACAATAATAGATATAATTCACAACCTCCGTGAATATTTACTTGACTGTAGTTGATGTGTTTGTAGAGAAGCACTCCGTGCTAATTTGCTACCAACATCTAATGTTATTCAGTTTTCCATCCATCAGCCAAGGTTACAGAATATATTTCAAAAAGTGTTGTGGTAGTAACATTAGAACAATGTTTGTTATTTTATATATATATATATGTGTATGTATATGTACGTACATATAAAAACAACATTCCAAATGGCTTTTTAATTTTGTAGCCATTGTAATATATATTTTTATCTTGTTTACATATATCGATGAATTATAATTTATAATTTTCCATTGATATTAATATGGAACTTAACATTTTATTATGAAAACAGAACTTTATAATAGAAGAGAAGATATATACATATATATAACTCAATTTAGTATTGCATAGTAAGTGTATTTTGAACACAATTATTCAACTGATTATAATTATTATTGTTTAAAAAATGATTAATAAAGGATTTGTTTTTAATGTAGATTATATAAATAAAATAGTAAAGTGATGTAATATCACAATACTCATCAATATTCAATAAATGAATATATGATTAAACCAATAATAATAAAGTTTTATTATTGTACTTTAACATTTTTATATCAATTCCATTGCACACAAGACTTTATTTAAAAATACTCTAATTTAAATTTAAAATAATGGGAAAAATAACTCAATTGAATATATATTTTGAATATATCTAATTATATATGATACATATGATCTTAATTACTGTATTGAATCGTAAATGGTATATTCTAATTAATTGAATATGTAATTAAAAAATGAACATATAAATAAAATTAAACATGACAAATTGTTAATTACAAATTAATTTGGTCACTTATATAATATATTAGCATTTTCAGTAATTGTCAAAACAGTTCAACAATGATTTACATGTTACATATATGTAACATTTTTATAGATAAAAATCTTTTATATGAAAAAATATTTTGTATAAAGTTATACTTAATCAAGTTTGACAAATATTACATTAATATTCACTCTGAATAAAGGATAGAGACTTTCACTTATTCGTAAAAGCAGAAGATACGTTCCGACCATAATTTTTATAAATTACAGTAATTATTCGGAACATATGATGCAATAACCAGGTCAGTAAAATTAAATGTGAATAATACAACTTATTCAACAACCGCAAGGTATCACAAATAATTTTCTTGTCACTAACAACCTTTACTTATGATCGAACTTGAATAAATAGTTCATAGAAAGCACTCGGTGTTGCGTTTCTTCAAAAGCAACTTTTTCTGTCATTCAACACGCGAACGAGCCTACACAATGTCCCACGCTAGAATTACTTTCGGACTCATGTTTGAAAGTGAAATTGAATCACGTCGAATCGAATTTCGAAGAGCTTCCGTGGAGTCGACAACCATAACGAAATCGTTTGTTTTCTCAACGTTAGATCGTATGCATTGCAATAATTTATGGAAATGGAAGAATCACGTTTGCATCAAAGAAAATGATATCTTCATGTGTATCTAATTGAGGAAAAAATGCTGGCAGAAAGAAAGAAGTTAAATACCGGAAACTAATGTTAGAAAATATATTTATTGAGAAAAATCTTGAAAAACCCAGAAATATAGAAAATAATTGCATAAATAATTCACTATATAGTATTCACTAGATACTAGTAATTTCTAACTGTACAGTACACAGCCTATAGTAAAGTTTGCCAATTTAATTTAGAATAACGACACAAGAGAAAAGTGGCTTTTATCTGAAGGGTGATTTTATTTGAGGGTATCTATTTAGTTATCTTAATGTGTATATTAATATTTAAAACTTGATAAATACATAACGTGCGAACATGCATACGAAATTTACGGCATATTGTTAATCTTTACGTGTTATAATATAACTATGCCTTGTGTGCGATTGATCGTATCTGTGCCCTCATTGTCTTCGATTAATTACCGTAAAATTCACATTTTTCTTTCGCTGTAATCCTACACCACGGTACACGATCAAAGAATGCGGAAGTAATTGTGAAATTTCATGTTAGTGCCATGCTGAAACAAGAGGAGCTGTCTTTGCAGTTTTGTGTTTTATGCAAAAATCGATGTTTAATTGTTAAAGAATTTCCATCGATTATCGCCGACATTTTGAAGGTATCGAAATATATGTACGTTGAAATTGCGTAATATAAGAGTCTAATACGTAGAAACTATTTTTACATACGTTTTTAAAACAACTTTAATTAAATTATGATTTAAATAAAAATTTATTCGATTAAATATTTGTGGTTAAATACGCATAATGTTCAACATCTCTTATTCATGCAAATAACGATTAGTTAGCAAAGTAACCTAGTCTGTGTCGAAATGCCAATTTAAATTGTAAATTATCTAACCAAAATCTTTCGGAAATTTTAGGACTCTTGAAAATGTACGAATACGATATTTAGTTACAAAGATTCTTGTGAAATTTATAAACATCAAAGCTTATATATTCGAAAGAAGTTTTGAAGTCAGCAATTTTCGCAAGTGCGATGCAACTGATAATTATCTCCAGTTGAAAAGAAGTTTGGAAAAGATGTAATGACATTCGCAAATGAAACGTATATGACATTTCGTCATCGTATCGTTCGAAATAAATGTAGGAAGTGTATTTCATCAGGTCGGTGTTCATCGTGCATTACGATCTCGGAAATCGTACAACACGATGTCTGGTGTAATTCAAGCTAGAGTCCAGTTTTGCTGGTACAGAAATACCGGGCGACAGTTTTGCAAGCAGTTTCGCGTTACACGTAAGGACGACAACTTTTCATTTGCGATTTGAAAAAAAAATTATAAGTCACACTCAGAATCGTTCTAATTATTACCATTCTATCATTGCCCCATTATTTTCTATTATAATACTCTTACGTTGCGTTTGAAATGAAGCTGCACTTTTCTCGCATCATTTTTATTACTTTCTCCGTTTACAAATTTTTTATTTTTTAATAGCTCATAATTTCACAGTTACAATACGATCAATGAAAAATCGATATATATAGGTAATCCATTTTTATTATTACTTCACACAATACTGTATTAATAGTTAATATTATTCAAAATTTAGAAATTTAATACTATTAAATTTCTTTCTTCGTTTAACCTAACCTATTATACGCTATTAAATATAAAAATTATATAATTTTCCAAATTGTCCTAAATTCCAATTCAATCGAATGAATTTTAATTTTAGATAATTTAGAAATTTCATTGTTCGTTTAACCTAACCTATTATACGCTATTAAATATAAAAATTATATTATTTTCCAAATTGTCCTAAATTCCAATTCAATGAATGAATTTTAATTTTAGATAATTTAGAAATTTCATTGTTCGTTTAACCTAACCTATTATACGCTATTAAATATAAAAATTATATTTTTTTCCAAATTGTCCTAAATTCCAATTCAATGAATGAATTTTAATTTTAGATTATTTAGAAATTTCATTGTTCGTTTAACCTAACCTATTATACGCTATTAAATATAAGAATTATATAATTTTTCAAATTGTCCTAAATTCCAATTCAATCGAGTGAATTATAAATTTAGACAATTTAGAAACTAGAAATTTATTTTTCTAAAATTAATTCAAAATTGCATCGCAGGAATTAAAAATGTAATTGCATTTTTATTATTACATTTTCAAACGCACGTAATTGTTTAATACTCTTATCATCGCCATACTAATCGGCATACTATATTCGTTTTAGTCTCGTTTCAGCCGACCTATTCCTAATCGCATTTTCCATCTTATGCAAATTTCACATTGTGCCTCCCCTGAATGACATAGAACGTTTTTCATTCACGAAACAGCGGAAGAACTTTTACCTCGCCCACGCGAGAAGATGAAATCATGTGAGCGTTGTTTATTCACCGAGGAACCAGCTATTCATCGTCCGTACACCATGCATACGAATAGCGAAAAAAATATGGCAGAGAGAGATAAATGTTGGAAATCGGGCGTTTTGAAAAGAGTAATCCAACCTGGAACCGGTCTTGGTTGACCTGGACGATTATTTCAAAATTTGGCTCTCTTCTTAGACTCGTAAAATGGATGCTTAGCAAAATGTCCTAGGATCGAAATGACCCATATCGAGGCAGAGTGCACTAAACGGTATATTTTATTAAGATTTATTTATCGTCTATCTGGTTTATGGTAATCTTAGCTTTGAAACTTAAGACCTTTATTTATTGCGAATAAGCCACGAGATTCAACCGATGGTAAAGGATAACCTGAAGATATGAATTATTATAAAATTTGGAAGGATATGGAATCATATATTCACGAGCCTGTACGTGAAAGTTACTATTTAATTTTTAATTATGTATAAAATCCGAGATGGGTTTTTATTCATAAATTCAGTTATACAAAGGACGATTGCATTAAAAAAGATTGAGAATCTGTAAATTTGTAAATCTTCAAGACACGAATTTCTTAAAATTTCAAGAATCTGAGAGGATATCCATCCAGTTGCAGAAAACATATGAACAATTCCTATGGAAATTAATGAAACTTAATTTTTAATATCAGAAGGAGGAATTAAAATGGTAATAGGTAAAAGGATAAATGGTAATAAACGAGATCTGTTGCAGTAAGCAGCTGAATAAAAATTCGTGAAGGAATTATGCGATTTCTTCCGTGTAGATAGAAGAATTATGTCTACACGAAAAATATCGTTTAAATATGCGAAAACGTGGTGGATCCTTTCAGCTTTCTCGTCACGTCGAGGCATCGATCACTATACATCAAAGTACCGACACGAAAGTACTTTCTGGCCGGGAACCAAAATCCACTTTCCATCCTCGATATTTATCTTTCTGAAATACTTATCTTTTTGCTTTCAGGTGATCGTATTAAATCGTCTGGAGCGTTACGCACACTGAAGGCGCGTTTTATGGTCATCACATGCTCACCTTTGGAAGAAGAGGAAGGCCAATGAACTCAGCTTTTGGACCTTTCTCCTGTGAAGTTACATATTTTCTCCAGGCAACGTTCGTTCGAGATTCGATGGTATCCTCCTTTTTTCCCTGCTGTGGACGAGTTTTGTGGCCTACTTAATTCCCGACGTTTTACTTCCGCCCAATTTCTTCCAATCTCATCTGTACACGTGAGTAATACTTATAAAATTCATTTGCATGTGTAACTGTATTTTTTTTTTTTAATTATAACTGTGATTTCTTTGCGTTGCTTCGTTGCAGTGTATTTTTATTTTTATTTAAAAAATTTCTTTCTCATTGTAATCGCTTCCTTCTTTAATTGAAATTGATTTCTATATTATTTTTCTTTTCACTGAAAATTTTGATTTTTTCCTTAATTAAGTATTATCCTTCTTCTTTTTCCTCCTTCATTGATCAGAATTTTAATTAACGCTTTTAATTTGGGCAACAACTTTGTAATTGTAATGTCCAAATTTCTTGCAGTTTATTGTTGGAAAAGGAAGAAGGAATTGCAGTTAATTGTACTCTGCTTCGAGCAACGAGCATTTGTTGCGTGTAAACTAGAATTAAGTCAACTTCTTGGAAAAGTATCGCAGTGCTAAACACTTAGATAATCACGAAGATCGTGACGATTGATGGATCTCAGCTGGAGACTAGAAAGTGCATCGAAGCTTAGTTCCTTTTTCTTCTTTTTGCTTCCATTTATCCACATATCGGATGTTTTCCGTATTGCTCCGAGACATTTGTTATTCGCGACACTGGTTGTAAACTTCAATGGTTATTGATTTTTTTGTGGCCTCGAGTGATTGATCGTTCAGCAATCCTCAATTTAACTGTCCATTCTGAAACCCTTCCGAAGATTAATGAACAAATCGAGTAACTCTCAAAAAACCAACGGAAAAAAGCAAACGGTACTCTCCCATCTAAATTAAGAATTAATTTCTAGGTAACCTTGTATTAACAACCGTTTAGAAAAGTCCAAATTACATTCTATCTAAAATTCGGAAGTTACAACAGATACAAATTGTACCCTGACTAAATTACGTCCCTAAATACCCCATATCTCGAGCTGGAGTTCTTCAATCATTTTCCTCGAATAAAAATTAAAAAATTCCGCAATTATACGACCAAAAGAACATCATCGTTCATCCACGCATTCACTAAACCAAACGCTTTCGATACTCGTCAGATCACCCGAAATCGAAAAAGTCTGTGACGGAGCAACGAAGAGGAACCAAAATCTGTCGTCAGCGTGGAGAGCTCTGAAAGTGGCCATCAAATTTTATTACGACGGTACGTGTAACAGCCTGAACGTGTCAATGGCATCTTCCGATTGCATAACTCACGTTAGAATGTTTGCCGGACGAATTTTACCTGTGACTGAGCGGCCAAAGATCTTCCTCGACTCCTCATACACACACGCACACGCATGCGAAGCGCCATAACGTACGTGTTCACAGAGATGTCAGACGGTAGTCCTGGTAGACGCACGTTCGATAACCCTAAGAGGTACCGTTGGCTAAACCGGAAGTGGAGAACACGGGTGTACAGTGTCAGTGCCACGAAATTGCTCGGGACCTTCGCCACGGAACGAGGGTCGACCGGTATGTGAGAATGCGTTCCCTCTTTTGTCAGCGCACGAAAAATGGCGACGGGAATGACACCCTGAAGTACGACCTCCGTCATTTCGCGAAAGTCCTCTTCCTTTTTCTCCTTTCTGAGAGCAGCCATCGAAACGGCAGATGGAAGAATTGTCGTGGCATGGCTTATTACGGGTCGATCTCGTCTGGGTCTATTGTCTTCCGTGTACAGACTCGTGGCGGCCTTTTCAAGGCATTGTAGTTGATTCATCAGGAATCGTAGCAACGATTCGAAGCATACAATGGTACTTCCTGATTTTTCTTGTCTTTCGTGTCGCGTACGCCTGTCTTTTTCTTTTCATCTGCACTCGTTTTATTGTTGCAGTCTGAGATTACTTAGAAGAACGTGTTATTGGATTATTGTAAGTTAATTTTGGTAGTCTGCGAATCAGTCTTGTTAGGACGATAGTTAGTTGTAGATGAGTTTGTCGGATTTGGTTTATTGTGCACGTTTATATATAGCATGAAAGAATGGAAACACGTATAATTGCCAAGATACTATCGTCCTTCTGCGACACTTACAGCATTTTTACTGTGAGGATTATAGTGGATAAGTGGCTGGGGTGTCCTTGGAATATTTCCCCATGTGAAAAGAAAGAGAAGAATGTTGGTTGTATAGAATATTAGTAGCTAGGTAGGAACGTGTTGCTTCTTATATTTCTAATGGATTTATTTATTGTGTACCTAGATAATCAATAACGGGATATATGTAAACTTGAATGTCGACGAATTTTTTCCACAAGTCTCAGGAACAGAGGGAAATGAAGAGTAACAGGCGAGGAAAGCTACCTATCTTCAACATTCCTGGATCTCTCATCGACTATTAATTAAGAATCCACAATCTCTACGAGCTGACAACGACCATAACTGCTCTAAGCACTAGCTGTAACGAAAGGCGCCAGGATGAAAGTTTTCGGCTTTGGAAAGACAAGATTAATATTATTGCGACTGAAGTACTCGATGGAAACGAATACACGCAAGCAACTATGTTCCCACTTCAAAGTCGCCATTATTCCACAATCAGCTGTACGGTTTCAATGCGAACGAACTGTAAAAGACATTCTGAAAAGAGGCATTTTGACATTGCCAGGTAATTAACATTGCTAGTTAATTGGCAGCTATTAGGCAAACTCGTGAGCCTCTGACCCTGTCCAGTTCCGTAGGATCGTTTAGAGAAACGACGGAAATGTCGCGAAGTGTGTCGATTTTTCAGAAAATCCTCATAGGTTCCAAGGTTCTCGTAAAAGTCAAGGCCAGCCGGTCGTAAACCGCAAGCATCATTTTATGCGGCTTACGTTATGCGCCTGTCCGCGTACTTATACAGAACGCCGTTGAGGAGAAAGCGAACAACGAGCAACCAGTTTATGAAAATTACCATTGGATGGTCGCCTTTCACGTGCGAACACGCACCGAACTTGAAAACGTTTAATCGTCATTAGACGAAGAAGGCGCGACAATGAGGCCGACCCTCCTTTATGGACGCTACTTACATGCAATTAGGCGCGATTTATGATTATGCCTAGCGGTTTCTATCGTTCGCTTTTCAACGTTCATAAGACCATTGTTTGTAAATCTAATCGCGATCGTGTCGTTACGAGATTACACCGCGAAAGTGGAGCTTTCGTGCTTCTAGCTTTGGATTGGGTGTCATTGCACTGGGTGTCCCGTTAGGAGTGGAACACCCAAGTGGTGCTTTTGTATTATGTTACTGGATCTACCAAATTTGTCGAAACGATTAGCTGTGGAATTTCTTCCCTATACATGTTACAAATTTTGAGCTTATTTTAACCAAATTAGTATTCATTTTTATCGTCATAGATATGTTAATTATATGTATTTATTTATTTATCTTCATCGTATCTTGTTAATTAGCGTTACTTATATGTATTATTGTATTTTGTTACTAGGTATCAGTTTCAGAATATTTGTTTTTGTAGTGGTCCACAATATGTAGCTTATTTTTGTAAAATTAATGTTAATTTTTATTGTGACAGAAGAGTGATTATTGTATCTGTTTAATCATCCTTATTAATGTGGATTATACTTACTGTTAGGTACATGATATAGGTTGGTAGTTATGGTTATGTTGAGGAAACTTGTAATAGGTAAAATTGAAGTAAAAACCATTGATTTCATGCAGGATTATTTTAATTCTCCGAAATTGAAGTTTTTGTCTTTTACTTTGTATTCCAGGAAAGTAATAATGAATTCTTGTTGCATAAGTAGGGAGTAAAAATTAGTTTTGTTTTTCCTCATGATGTTTTTATTGTCTTCCATAAGTTTCTTATTCAAATGAGCTCTTATTCGGGTCATCTTTTCCCCGGGTGAGCTCATAAAACCTTGTAGTCAATTTGTTAGCATAACATAGACAGTAAGTTCACGTAGCATCCTAACACTGTCTTGAAATTTGATTAACTTTTTGCTGTTCAAACTCACCTCAAGGCTGCAACTCATGCTTCGACGCATTTTAATATCCTTTATGAAATGCAATAGAAGGATATGCTTGTTCATCAGGAAAATTATCATTATAACTGCCTTTAAAAAATTAAAAGCAGGTAATAGGTTAAAGCAATTTACCTACCACGCTGATGCTTTTTTTGAAGGTATTTGGATGACGTATTAAATATTTTCTGTAGTGGTGTCGTTGAAGGTGAGCGAGATATTATGGTGTTCCCTTTTTGGTGGTTCACGTTATGTAACATTGTGAAAGTGAAAAAAGGGAAAGTGTTTCGCCAACAGAAAATTTTACCGAAGGTCCCCTTGACTGAATGTATTATTATCGAATCTTTTGCAATTTTTATAATCCATTTATTATTATTTTCAAGTCTTCCGAATTTATTCGAATCTTCAATTCTTTTACCTAAATTTCTGCATTTTCTAAAATACAGAAAAATATCGAGGATTTGTTTGATAATATCTTGCAGGGATTAAAAATGACAAGATTGGAAGAATTTTCAATCGAATTTGATCTAGAATTGGGTAAAGATCTAGGATAGGATTAATGAAAAGACGACGCAAATTTTCTAATTCTTGTACTCGTTTATTTTTCTCTAAATAAACGATCTTCGTATTCCAATAAAGAAATCCATATCACACGTGCTATCGGTTATAGACATTTAAAGCAATACAAGATTACAAACTTGATTAACGTAGATACCAGAAATCGGAGATACTCAGGAAAGCATTCAAAACTACCGAGTCTGAGAGACACCTAATACTGAAAGCAGAGTCACGAAAAGATCCTTTTATTCAAGTACAAATATACCCTAAGCTCATTAATTCCATATTAAGCGTACATAAATCATAAAAAGGAGATAAATGAATGCACGAGTCGTTAAACCTCTTCATCCATCCGATTAAATATCCTCGAACACTCCACCCTGCAGTTCTTTCAGTTGATTGTTATAAATGTACAGGAAGTTCCCTCTGGTCAGACTTAGTCCGTAAAGGGCGCCATTTTGTAGCTTCTGAAGTGGATTCTTCGAGATGTCCAAGATGTTCAAGCTACCCAAATTCTTGCAGGAGCCTTTGGATATCTGGGTAATCAGATTCTCGTTCAACCAGAGACGTTTCAATTGAGGTAGTCCCTCGTAACTGTCACCATCGATGGTCGTCAGAGTGTTATTGTTCAAATGCAAATCTCTGAGAGTAGGCAACTCGAATGTTCCCTTCGGAATGCTCGAGATTTTGTTCCCTGTCAGAGACAACGTGAATCTGGGAACATTGACGAAGCTTGCCTCCTGCAGACTGTTTATCTCGTTAAAATCTATATGAAGGAAGTCTAAAGTTTGCGGTAGATCGGAGAACGTGTCTGACGTGATCTTCTCGAATTTGTTCCAGGCTAAGTTCAGATCCTTGAGGCTCTCCAGTTCCGAGAACGTTCCCTTCTTCAGCTCTGCCAACGAATTTCGATGGAGATACAGCGTAGTCAGTTGCTTCAGATCGTTGAACGCCTGACGTTCGATCTCTGTCAGACTATTCCTGGTTATAATCAACACTTGAAGGGAATCCAATCCTTTGAAGACGTTCTCCTGCAATTTGGTGATCTTATTGTTAGCCAGGTTTAGGTAAACCAGGCGAGACAGTTTCGAAAAGGCTCCGTCAGAGATGGAAGAGATCTGGTTGCCTGCTAACACCAGCTCTGTCAAAGATTTAGGCAAGCTGGACACAAAGGAGAGATTGTCCAGTTGGTTTCCATTAATGAACAGTGCAGTCAGATTCGTTTTGGCTAAAGCATCGTCCTCGACGTTCTCTATCAGATTGTTCCTGAGATTCAACATCCTCAGGTACCTATTCTCGATCACCTGGTTATGGATACCCCTGATTCTGTTGCCCATCAGGTTCACGTAGATGAGATCTTCTGGCAGATCGTTTAGCAGTTCCTTCGTGATCTCTGTGATTTCGTTGTTTGCCAGGTCTAACGAGATAATTGGGAAGTATTGCGACTGGTACCACTTCTCATGGAATCCCTTGATGTTCAATCCTCGAAGGCTGATGGATTTCTCCTTCTCGTTCACGGGTATCTCCGCGCAGTTACTATTCGCTGCTATCTTCCCTTCGAGTGGTTCCATCGACACGATTATGTTATTCGTCATGCACAGCTTCAGTTTCATACCTTTCGGTATCTCTTTCCTCGTGATTGGCGAACAATCCTTCAAGGTATTGTCCTCTTTCTCTTGCTCCGCATTCAATTCCTTCTCCGTGCTATCGTCCATTTGCTCGACATCTGCCTCGGCTTTCATCTTCTCCAAATTCTTCAATTCCTCCTCGTCTTTTAGGAACGAGTTGGTGAAGGTGCCCGTGCTAATGCTCCAGAACACGTTACCATCGGTCAGTATGGTAGTGTCCTTTGTCAGGCCGAACAAGTGACCTCTGCGAAGGTGCATCACAGGATTGCAGGAGATGTTTAACACTCGAAGCTTCTCCAAACGGACGAACAGGTACTCCAGGCTATTCAGTTTGTTCTCGGCTAACGACAGGTACTCTAAATTCGTTAGGTTGGAGAACATGAACTCCGGAAGGGATTCGAGGGAGTTGTTGGCCAGGTTCAGGGACTTTAAGGAAGACACGTTGTCCAGAGCATTCTTTTCTATACGTCGAATCCCTAAGCCGGATAGATCCAGCTCGGTGATAGGCGTGTTACGGAATTGGATTTTCTTCAGAGTTCCATTCTCGAGATCCAGGATGTAGTTGTCCCGAGTTGACTTAAGTGGAACGGCTGCCACTAAGGGCAGGAATAGTAAAGGGAACAACATCGTAATCACCTGGAAAAAGCAAAGAAATTTTATAGTTTATTCACTTTAGTTTCATTACATTCCATGATACTGTTACTATCTTTTTTATTTAAGAATGGGATATAGTAAATGATAGAATTAGGATGATAGAATAAGAATTTGTGAACATTATTTTTCAAAAGAATTGTTCTCTTTTGAGTAAAATAAGGTGATAAAATAATTTGGCGTAATATGAAGCGAGGAATAGTATAAGGTAGAGTCTTCTAGAATTTTAATTTCATTTTACATTTCGTCACACGATTGCTAATTGTGAAATGGAAAAGCTTGATAATTAGCACCCTCGTGCCATCCACACAAGCAGAACGTCTTGCTGAATGTTCATAGGACAAATTGCAAGAGTTAGACAAAGTTGGAAGCAAGAAAATTAGACATTTGCAAAATTTAAATTTACAATATAATTTACGCGTTATTGACAAAATCTTCATGACCAAATCTTATTTCTCTGCAATTCCACTTTCCTTTCGTGAAAACGGGAAAATTATTTCACACGTTTGCGACTCATTTGCACCAGTGTGCGAAATATCTTTCCGCTGGTGTACCGGTGTTATTATCGCACTGCATAAATTTATGGTGCACGTTTCCATTGAAAAGGAGAAGGGAGATAACAGTCAACACGTTTCGAAATTTGAAAAATGACGCTTCTTTTTGAACGGTTTTATGGATTCGCTAGGCACATCGGGATTATCAAAATTATCATAAACCTTCTTTTGCATCTTATACAGTGGAAGAAAACTTGCATCACAGATGCCATAACCGGTTTTACCACCTCTTGAAATCGAAGTTACGAAGATCCGTTTATTTGTCTTCAGCATCTTTCCTTTTTAATGATTAGGATAGCTTTGATACAAGATAGGACGCTGGCGTCTGACAAGTAATTCCGAGGTTTAGAGGCAAGTTAAGTCGAAGGGCGACATAAAGTTGAAGTTGTACAAATTTTTTGTGAATATTAAACGTATTAAAATTTTCCAACGATGGATCTTCTTCTTATTGACAACTTTTGAAGTCGATATTTTACGGTCTGACGTTATCTTCTTAATTTTAATGAAAGCAACGATACCTTTATATATATATTCGAAGATAGAAAGGTTGGTTACATATCTTCTTTCAGATCTCTACCTTGATTTTTCATAGCTTTGCTAGTCGTATCTATTTTTATATTTAATTCCATACCATTGGAAATATTACTTGATAATGCTACCAAAAATTAAAAGACGTCTCTATGATTTTTAACAATCTCGGAAGGCTGAAAGTCCAGGTCGTTGAACTCTTAAGAATTAGCTATGAACGGTTCTAAAGCACTTCATCTGAAAACTTGAAACTATCTTTGAAAAATCTTCGTCCCTCGATTTGCTCTTCTCTTCCACCAGAATAAATACAGCGATACCAAAATGGCGGCTTCTACGTAACCACAGAGTTCTCACAGTAAATACTTATAAGAGACACCGAATGCAACATAAGTATATAATCAAAACATTCTATGAAGCGATTACTATAATAATTGGAACAAAATAATTAATATACCTTATCCTGTAAATACATGCCATAGGAGAAGCTACGTACGAAGCAAAATGGAGAAGGAAAAATAAAGTGTTCAGCCTTCGTCGATTAAAAGTATGGATTAATTAAGATTTTCCAAGAAACGAGCATACATCGGACACCTAAACACCTAACGGATACCACTCGGAGCTAATAATACGTATGTACGACAGCAGAATGAATTATCAAGCACAAGACCGATGTTTGGAGGAAAAGAACACAGGGATAAGCTTACCTTCTATCGGCGATCTATCGAAATTCTGGAAACCACAGTAGATCTGCTGACCGAAAAGGACTGTCCTGTCTGTCTACTCCCTGGACGTAGATACACTCGCAACAGGATTCCTTGGGACACGGCAATCGCGAAAACAGGTCTTGCAAGCTTTTATACCCCGTGGATTTTGCGTGTGTTCGAGGGTTCCATAGATCCGTGCACGCACACACGTCGCTGTGCGTATGACGATTGAACAGTTCGAGTGGGAGGCGACGCTGAAGAAGACAAAAAGAGGAATGTACGTTCATGGAACTTCGTTAAAACTGGCCGTGGTAGCTATTAGAGGCGAAATCTCGTCACGTATCGACTGTCAGGGAACAGGAAGAGGAGTCGACTGAAGCTAGACACCGCGACCTTCCTTGAATCGACCGGAGTCTATTATTAATTCGATCTATTCGAGGAACCGTGGCTCCTCTGGCTTTCACGAACCATTCGATCAGCTGTCTCCGTCCACTTTTCGTCGCTTTTCTGGTGATTTTCCATCGAGCGTTGTTCCACGATAGAGTGGAATAAGGTGGAGAACGGAGATTGGATCTGTGGTGATCCACTGATTAGATCAAGTAGTTAAGACTTGGATTTTGGGTCTGGCTTTCTTCTTCGTTTTGCGATTTCTTCTGGAGATAATTTCCAAGGATATTTTCACGAGAGAACTATATAAGAGATTTAATGACAGCAATGTAAAATAGTCTAATTATGGAATTACTGTGAAATTAATTTTATAAAAATTGGAAGGTTCAGAAAGGAGACTTCAAAGATTGAGAAAGAATTTGTACAATGTACGATATTTAAATAACATAATTGAGGATACACGTAGAATTTTAAGCGTGAACAAATTAAATTAACAAGGAGTAAGAATAATTAATGGATAAGGGAAACGATACATCGAGAAAAGGCTCTAAGTGTATAAAGTCCCATAACACTCACTGGAAGGAATAAATAATTTGTATTGCCTTGTAGGAATACCAAATAAGCTCAAGTTACTCGTCTATAAGCATAGTTGAATGACAACAAGAGTGAAGATGTATGTGATGAACTGGGAGAAAAGGAATGAATGGAGTATTTGAAAATATATACACCTTGAATCATGATTCACACGTGTGGATATTGTATTCATATAAAATGTACTATCAGCATAGTATACTAAACTGTTAGCATCTTACTATTACTTTTATCCGTATCAGTGGTAAGTCTCATATAATTATGACTTAAATAATTCAAAATTCTTGGGCTTACATTTCTGACACTATATAATCCACTCCACAGAAGTGTCAAAACACATGATAAATAGGAAAGTAATAATATAAAACATCTTCATGCAAGAATGTTAAAACCCAATTGAAAAATCATCCATGAAGGAATAAAAAGGACACCAGAAAGATTAGTATGTTTCTAATTTGGAAACTGCTGTGAACAGGTAGCTCACCTAAAGGAAAGGTGTCCATGGTCCAAAACTATGTTTATAATCGACACTATAGTTTTCAGTTTAGTAAGAAAATGGTTCGAACAGAAAGTGAAGATCATAAATATTTAAGCCACCCGTGGAAACGTTTAGAATACAGATGCGTTTAAAGTTCGCCGAGAGATACGTGCGCAGGAGGATACCATGCGTGGCGAGCTCCTTTTGCTCTTTTATCGATGTTTGTTTGTGGTCGTTACGTGGAGCGATTCGATAAACGAGCCTTCCGATGTCTAAAATTGTTCGTTGTAAATATGTGCTTTTCCAGCGCGTTACACGTTCCCTCGAATTCTATCGTGGCTAAAGCAAACTACGTTGTGTGGATCTTGACGCTGTGCAAAGAGCCATTTTTCGTGGGCAATTCGAAACGAGTAGTAGAGCGAAATATTGAGCGTAGAAAAATTACTCTGTACTCTGCGAAAAATATTTTCAATCAGCTTTGAAAAATTATCAAAATTTCAATGGCATAGGCATTTCTCTAGAAATCTTTTAATTCGTTACTAATATCGGTACAGTGCAAAGGGCCATTTTTCTCGAGCAGCAAAGTAAAATGTTAAGTTTATAGCGAGATTCTGCGAATATTATTAGATTATCTCTGAAATTATCTGTAAAATTATTTGCGAAAATTGTAAAAATTTCAGTCGAGTGTATATTTCTCCTAGATATTCCTCGTTATCGTTAATAGCTAATTAACAGAGGAGGACGTAATGTGAGGTTTAAATTGCGTGACTGCTGAATAGGAGTAAAAGAAAGGGTCGAAACTTTGAAAGCTGCGAAACTGCTCGATAAAAGTTCACTCGCAGTGGAATTTCGCGAATGACCACTTCCTGATCAATCAGTGCTTCCGGTCGACAAGATGCAGTGGTCTTTCTTATTGCAAACTTCGGAGCGAAAAGTACTCTGTATTCGCAACGATGTCAATGACTTCTCTTCATCTTTCGAGCGTATTGATCCAGTACTTGTTGCTATTCTTGGGACTCCATTGGAATATAAATCATATCTTCTCTGTCTTCGGAGACTCGTCTAACTTTCCGAGTCGTTCAACTATCGATCTAAAAACTTTCCTGTCCATGCAGATTCATTTAATTTCACAGTATACGGGTAATGAAATGAATTTAATTTCGAGAGTTTGGAATTATTCCTCGATTTTGGTAATACAGTGTTGTATTATTGGTATTATTTGTTATTACTCCCCTCTGGTATTATTGGTTGATTTTTAAAGTTGAGATGGTCCTAAAATATTTGTGATAGGATATTTAGGTATAGTTTGTAATAGCACGATATAGAGAGCGAAAATAGACAAGGATAATTTAATAGCTGCAACGTTTTCTCAGTTTCACTTTATTAATTTATTTATTTATTGAACCGGTCATTGCTCTTGGCGTACATTATATGTACATACATTACATCTGTATCAATTATATAGGTTTGACGCTCTTAAAGCTCTAATTGCACTTCTAACGGTGTCGGTTGAATTAACATATGCACCTTATTGACAGTTATTCTATTCATAATCTCTCGGGTAGTATCGCAGAAGAAACCATAAACGATACTTTATCGCGTGAAACTAGTTTTATTTTCGTTCAGATTGCTACTGAATATGGAAGATGTGCCTATAAATAAAGGACGGTGAATAGAGATTGCATAAAAATTTATATAAGAATAATAAGAAATATTCATATATTCAAAAACTAATCATGTGAGCTCGACAATAGTAAGAAAATTCTTACAATGGAAACGCTGACATGAACTTGGCATAGCCCGTTCATGCTGGTCATAAATCAAAAAGGATCTACAGTAATGACAACAACAACAACTCCAGCCTCAACACCAGCCTCAACACCAGCCTCAACCTCAGCCCCAACCGCAGCCACAACACCAGCCGCAACCGCAACCTCCGCCCCAACCTCAGCCTCAACCTCAGCGTCAACCTCAACCGCAACCCCAACCGCAGCCCCAACGGCAGCCGCAACCACAGCCGCAACCCCAGCCGCAACCACAACCTCAACCTCACAACGACAACGACAACGACAACAACAATAAAAAATAGGTTTGCATAAATAAAAGGCAATAAGTAGGCACCTTTTGTGACACCTGCGAAGGAATTTAAAACTTAAATTAATTTAATTTAAAAAATGTAATCATATTGTTCAATACCAAGCAACAACAGCAACAGCAATATTAATAATAGTAATATAAAATAGGTTTGCATAAATGAAAGGCAAGTCGACGCTTTGTGAGACAATTGCAAAGGAATTTAAAATTTAAATTAATTTAATTTCAAAGATGTAATCATATTGTTTAGTATCGAATTAATTTTGGTGTGAAGTATTATTTAACAAATTTGATAGTGATCATGTAGTTATCATTGGAGATAAATGCCATCCAAAGGAAAAGCCCAGTGCCGATTTGCAGGAACTAACGTAACGGTTGACGTGTTAAAAATGAAGTCCCAGCACCGTAAATACGCTGGAGTGGTTCAAGACATCTTTATTTGAAATACCATGGTCGATTGTAAAAGTAAAAGCATAAGATCATTATCTGTGTCTAACAGGTACGTTCATGGAAACGAAGTCGAACGTGCCAAGGAACCCCGTACGTTTTCAGTTTTATGTGGCACGTTTAATTGAACCACTCCGATATGTTTATAGTTTGATTAGGAATAAAAACACCATAGGAACGCGTCGTTAAATGGAATCAGGTTATTATACAGTTTTACTAGTATATTACCAATAAGTTAGCTTTTGCATTTTTTGCAATCAGTTTCATGGTTAAAAAATGGCAAGCGAGTCTCAACGGTGTTTCAAACTTACGTGTATAGCTTCCTTTGCAGCGTTTGAAGGGTCAAAAATAAAATTCGGTATTAATAATTTCCACGTTAAGGTATCCATATCGACGATTTTTAACTTATAAATGTTGACCCGTTTGATTTTACAATCATTACTATTGTTGTGTCCAGAGATCCAAAGATTTTGGATCGCAGGCCTAAGTGGTCTAAATCTCGTGAATCTAGCTTAAAACTTCTTCGATATATCCAATTCTCTAACTCGAGTTTCTTCGAATGTTCTTTAAACCTGACGCAATATTTAATCACTCTTCAATTAAAATAATTTATTTAAACCAATCAGTTGTCGAACTTGTCGATCATATATAGATCTATAAATAATTTAAATATCTCCAAATTTAGGAGATTTTGTAGTTACCCTTAACATATAGTTAAACTCCATTAAAAGAAGTCTTAGAAGTGTTCTGAAATTCCAAATTTGTCCTTCGTACTCATTTATTCCGATCAATTCGATGAATTAGATACTCCGTGTTTGAATTATTACATGTATAATTAATACCGGATAACCCCTGACTTTCTGGTAGATCCTTAATCCAATTGAAACGTTCGCATGTTGGTTCTACGAAGAACAACTTTGTGTATACAGTGTTCTAATCTGTAAATGTGGGTACTTGATTGAAATTTCGGATCTATTAGTAAGCGATAACTTAGTGGGTACAAGCTTGAACGTGATTGATCAGCACTGGGTGAAATTTGCTTTACACCTGTGAGGCTGTTTAAGTTCCTGAAACACCATGAAACCACGATGGAATGGCTTACAGTGTAACAGAACAATTTTAATAATGATAATAACAATAATAATACTTAATCAATGGACAGAAGTCCTTTGGTATACAATAAAAATAGTAAAATGAAGTATACAGTAACAACGTAGTAGTATAGTAACGCAGAAAATAATGGAATAAGAAATAATGAAATTTTACAGAAAATAAAAATCAATTTTTATAATTACAACAATTCAAACTGAGAAAGTGACAATGTTTGGAAGAAAGGCCAAGTATACCTAGCATTTAGAAAAATAATTACGCCTGTTACTCACATGGCGCTCAGTA